GACTCAGAATTCGTTTTTAGCATAGGTGGCCAGGCTATAGATCCATTTAAGAGGTCTTTAACATCTGAATTGGTTGAAAGCATTGATATGCACACAAAATTGGCTCCATGAGGATCAATTAACTGTGAATGTTGAAAGAACCCTTGAAGTGCTTGACGAAAGTAAAGATGGTTGTACTATGTTTTGTAACTGTTTCGAGTTATTTAATTGAACTTTTATTATCATTGTTTGGGATGTAGATAATTTTACATGTTTTTGGTTTTGGTTTTTTTTTTTTTTTTGATGACCACAACCCAACAATTCAACAGTCACAAGAGGTCGAACCCCCCCCCCCATCTGTCATTAGTACTCATAGTTTTTGAATAAATCTTAGGAAAAACAACATTATCTGTAGAACACGAAGGATTACTAGCTCTTAGAAAAACATAAAAAACATCATCAACATCAATAACAGGTACCGATACAGGTAGAGCAACAGTGATGCCATGCGAGGTAGATAAAGGAGATAATATATATGGAAATTTATAATCATAAAACATATATCGAGATACCAAAAACATACCCAACTCGAGATAAGATTACCACAAATCACAATGAATCAAGTGAATGTCAAGACTCACTAAGAGGAAAACTATCACAAGATTGTTTGGCTCAAAAATAAGCATCACATGCCTTATTTGACATTGATACTACGACTGAAATCAACAAGAGATAGCTTCTCAATAGATTTGGAAGAGGGATAACCCAACCATCGGTGCAAAATTTCTAAAGAAACATCACCCCTTGTTTGAACAACAACAATCACTATCCCTTGAAAAGAGTAAAGGTCTCCCAATTGCTCGCTCGCTCTAATCACCATCCTAGAAATAGGATCATCAATAATACACAATTTATTTGTAAACTAAGCAACATAATTGAACCGATCCAACAGTTGATACATAGATATCAAACTACACTTCAAACAAGGCACAAACAAGTATTTTTTAAAGTCACTGTATGACTGACATGCACCGTCGCGGCCTTGGTGGCGGTAGTCAATATGCCATTCGGAAGTTGCAATAGACATGATAAAATATCTTAAATAGCTAAAACATCTCCCAAAATTCTACTATATGGTGAGTAGTGCCACAATCGTACATACAATAATTAGAATGAAGCTTACAATTCACTTTATCATTATTGTCGACTTTAACCGATTACAAAGCAGCAGCAAGAGATTCCCACTAATTATCTGATAAGCCATTTGGAGCCGGCTGGTCTAGAGCAAAGTCAGCAACACCAAGAACACCATCTTAGATAGCAAGTTGAGCTGTGTTCACTCGATCAACCTTCACTACAAGCAAAACTACAACCACGGGCACCACGGCCAATAGCAACACCTCCACCTATGGCAACATTGCAACTAACTCCAGAATACCCCCTATTAGCAATAAACACAGCTAGAAATCCTGCATTATGGCCAGTTTAGGTGGTATGACTGAAACTACTCTATTTGGGAAAATCACCCCACCATTCCCGGTAGCCAATTATCTCAAAGCAAGAATTAGCTTCTTGTCCAAGGCGATTACAACTCGTGCACAGCAGGTTCTGGTCCTGCCATTCAACATTTCTATAACCAAAGGAGGAGGAAAATTGTATGGTTGCTCCAGCTGCTTCATTCACCATAAATCGCAAAACCCATGGTGTCACTGCCGGAGATCAACTGCCCATCTGCTTGAGTCGGAACCATTGGCAAGAGTTATTAGGAGAGCACACTCAAGCAAACAGTTCTAAACAACATGGAGTCCAGTGCCATAAGAAACTGATGGATTTTTTCATCCTCGCTACGCTTCTCCAACAACTTCTCAATAATTAATTTACAAAGATTAGACGTTGGAAACCGATCACGTCCTTCTAATTCTTCCCAAAACTTTGAAGTTAACCATAATAAGTAACAATATTCAACCCTAGTTGTTTGCAATCTACCAAGGCCGCTTTTAGTTGCTAAATGCGAGAGCTGTTTATGAAAAAAAATTGTTACCGAAGAATAACCCACAAATCAGCAACCACATCCCTATGCACAACAGTTAACCGAAAAGAGGGTTCAATAGTATTCATAACCCATGAACTCAAGAAGAATTGAATTTTCCACCAGTCCTCTAAATCTGGTAAGGATGCCGCTGATTGTTTGATTGAACTATCGACAAAATCATACTTCTTCATGTCATAAGTGCCAAATGGACTAATTTGAACCATTCATCATAGTTTCTTTCTCCTTTTAACTGGACTTAAGTGATCAAGAGTCAAGAATTATCATTTTTTGTAAGATCATATAGGGAAATAGTCTTTCACCGGGTAGAATCATCATCACCACTGGATGAACGAGAACTTTTGGTGTTGTCATGATCACTGATTATATATATTTATATATATATATATATATAAAATATTGGTAATTGATCAATCAAATAACCTAGTCTAATCCATAATAGAAAGATGAAAAAGAGGTTCAATTGAAAAACCTTGAATCTGTGTTTTATTTCATTGGCCGAAACATTCGTATATATGTATTACAAAGTGATTAAGGGTTTTACCTTTCTAACCCTAACTAAGTTAGGTAAGTAAATAGTAAATAATCTAATCATTTAACTATCAATCGTTACATATAGTAACACAATCCAACGGACCATCTGCCACTCATATCCTCAGAATCCTCATCGTATATTTCTTCATCGTAGGCTATCCAAACCTTGAAGATCAACTTGGTCCCTATAGATCACTCCAATGCTTCCAAAACCTCTACAACGGTGAGATCCCTCTTAACTCTAGAGTGCAGCCTAAGTTCCTATATCGTGATGATCAATATTCTCCACATTGGGTTTCAAAATTCCCTCACAATCCACGCACTGCCCACACTACGCCATCTCGTAGGTGGCCATTGAATGTTACACTCAGTCTGGTCGACTTAATTACACAATACTTGTCTCAATTGTAGACTCATAGTTGAAACTTGTCCCCTCTGCCTTTCCAGAGGCAAAACTTGTTCTGTTAGTTAGCTTAAAGGTGTCTTCGTTGTGCAATCCCAAACTTCACCCAAACTGTGATACCAATTGTTGGGGATAAAGTCTGGGAGGAGGGGAGGGGAGAGAGAAATTTTCAATATGGAAGTCTAATATGTAAGAAGAAGCTCCATTTGAATTCAAAAGGTTAAGCAAACCAGTCATAGGTCCTTCACATTTATAAGTTACTCCTCATGCCCTTCCAAACACCGACATGGGAAAATTTTAAACTGCTACATAATCTCAACAATCTTCCCGGTCATGTACCATTTTCCCGTTGGGTTCCAAAATTACTATACAAGCCCCAACTTGGGTCACTTCTCATACTAATCCTCCTTATATGCCGAGCATTGACTGTTACACTCAGTCCAATCGAATCAAGCATAACACATAACACTAGTCTTCACTGCATACTCAGATGTGAAACTTATCTTGTCCACCATCTAAGAGGTGGAACTTGTTCCGTCAATCTGCCTAGAGATGTTGTCCATCTCCAATATCATCCTGGACCCAAGTTGTGATACGAGTTATTGAGTAAAAAGTTTTGGGTTTGGTGGGTGGGCGGGGGGGGCTCAATTGAGAGCCCAATAAGTAAGCAAAAAGGCTCAACTTGAATTCAAAAATTGAAGTAAATGAGTCTTGGCTCATTCAGACTTATAAAGTGCTTCTCATATTTGGCAAACATCATTATTGCACAAATTAAATTGTCACATAATTTCAAGAACTATCTCATCAAACATAATTTTATTTTTTGGTTAATCAACAAAAATAATATAACATTCGAACTACCTATTACACATACTACCGCCTAAACGATCATGCTCTACTAGCATACCTACAAAATTCGCGGCAACATCAAAAGAATACAATTCCCGATTCATGCTTAATATCTGCTTCACTAAGGCATGCGCACATATATTATTCTCGTTTTTTTAGTGTGTATTTTTAGATATTTTTTGTATTGAGAATGTAAAAAACTGTATTGGAAATGTAAAAAAGTATGTTGGGATGGGACAGTTAATAATAATTTAATTTGAAAACACCATCAAGAAAAGGAAACAAACAAAGATAAGTGTATGAGAGAATTGCACAATCCAATCCAACCTTAATAGGTCTGAATACCTCTTAAGTCAAGCTCCAAGTTGGTTCGATGTTCTAAGTTTTTCATCAAACCTAGGGCCACTTCAGGGTCGGACTCCACAATAAGTCTCCTATAAAACTTTTTTGTTGTGCAAGCTCCAAGCTCCTCCATATTGCAACAATTTTAGTAGTGTCGACCAAACAAGGAACACTATTTCCACAGAAGGCCATGACACAATCTCCAGCCTCATTACGAATTAAACCCCCAACATCAGCCTGATTGGTCTCTTTGCTAACAGCTATATCACAGTTCACCTTTACCCAGGACTCAGGTGGTGCCTTCCATCTGGTTTTTTTATCCCTACAAACTTGGTTTCTCCACTTCATGTAAATCTGACTTCGAGATACTTTAGTAGCTTTCAGTCATATAGTTCTTACAGTCTCATTCACGAAACATAATTTTTATTGTCTCCGCTAATGAATTATTAAAACACTAAAAACTTGCATGTGAGTTTTTGGATTTTCGCCAGAAGTATTAAAAATTTATTTTTTTCCCAGCTCCCTACATAACAAATTATATTGTATCCCATTCTTAATGGAATTATTCAAATTTCAAATTATTGATATGCTTCTATATATAATTTACATATGCTTGATATAGCCTTGGTACAATCTTAACTCTTAACCATAACAAAGTACACGTGTATGCAAGAGGTAAGAGGGAAAGACATAATTTAAGGCAATTCTCAATTCTTAAAAACTATATATTTTCTCTATCGTGAAGTAGTTGTCTAGTTTGAAATTTCAGCTTTAACTTAAATTGTAGTGAAAGTTAAAATTCAAATAGGATAATTATTTTAGGACAGAGGGAAAAGAAATATTTTAAATTAGAGTGGCATAAAGGAGTTGGTTCCAAGTATCAAGTACACCAGCAACACACCAATGTGTGCATTCCATTCCTCCAAGGCCGTTATGGGAGCCTGGATGTCCGTCCTTTCTCAGTTGCGACAATGTCGTGATATTCAGCAAATTTTCTATTCCTAGTTTTGAGATTCTACTCAGGACTTCATTCACTACCTTTGATGCTAATGGCATTCCTCCTGGATATGTTGACCCACTCCATGGTGTTTTCTCTAATGAGCAGTTTGTAACTCCTGGCTTATTCCATTCTGCCCCACTGATCAATTCAAAAAATGTGAAACTAGAGAAATTCGTTCTTTGAAATATTACCTTTCCAATTAAGGAAAATCAAATAAAACATCAATATCGTATAAATAGAAAAACACTTATTATTTATAAGTTAACATTACATTAGTTTATCTTACCGTGTTTATGATCATTTAAAACAATTACTTAAATGATGACAAAAATGAGTGTAAGCATGGATGCAAGAAGAAATTTAATTAGCTTACTTGTAGTGAGAGGGAGTTATTCCTTGAAAGAAAACTTTGGTTTTGAGGGGATTAACCTCTGAATCCACCCATTTTGCCCAAGTTGTCAAGCCGTATCGAAATGCATCCATCCGATTCATGTCCTTCAAAATCTTCCCACTCACTTGTATGTAATCCCACCTTCAACAAAAAAACAAAAAAGAAGAAAAAAACACAACATAACAAAACAGATCTCATTGACAAATTCGAAGATGAGACAAGGAACTTTTTAATTAAAAAGAAAATCAAAATTAAGTTAGTCATTCTGTAGCCTCCCTTACATTGGTCCTATGCTTCATGTTTCATTTCATTGATAAATTTTGTTTTCCAATACCTGCATTTTAATTAGAGAGGTATGTATATGTTTGTTCAATAGTCAAAATGAAAAGTTTTTGAACTGTGACATGTAATTTCTTTTATTTGATTTGTTGACAAAATCCTGTGGTATCCTATTTTGGCACGTACTATGTCTAGAATAACTTTTAATAATTTATGCATTTTGACAAACTCTTTATAACTTAACCAAACAATTATTAGTACGAGATCTCAATCATAAATGACAAAAGGAAACATAAGACCTGGCTTATAGAACCTATTGCGCATATGCATAATTCTAGGAAATGTGCAAAGGTTACATGGTCATGTGGGTTTGATTAGATTCTCTTGCATCTCAAGTCATTTTAAAAATCTTTGATGTTCACGGGATGAAAAGTATTCATGGAAGGGTATACAATGAACAGACTGTCCCTCTCGTTTGAGGTCACATTAATCCTTTTGGTTTTTTTTTTTATTTTAATGTTTTTTTTAAAAAATATAAATTTTGTGTTCATGCTTAAAGCAAAGATTCAAACTTTCCTTTACCATTTCAATTGAAAGAAAATAATATCAGTTCGTGAAAAGGTGAACACTTGTATACATGTGAGTAACTTAGGGCTGAGGAGTGGTTGAGAGGCCATCTCATTTCTTTAGATCCTAACTAGTGTGGTAAGACTCTTAATATATTTTATTAAATTTAGTTATCGTATCTCATCCAAAATAGTATATCTTACGCCCAAAAATATATAGTTCACATTAATTTTTGAATTTTGTATTTTTTGAGAGAGAACGAACAAAAATATAATTATTGGCCAAAAGGAAATTGCAAAAATCAAGAGTAGTGAGTAATTTGCTGGTAATACATACGGTTGTTTGGCTCCACTACGATACCACCAAAGCCAACTGTTGAAGACCAAAATGTCCATTTGTTTCCATAAGTCTCCGTTTTTAATGGAGTCCAGTTTCAACACGCGGCCAACCTGTTCCATCTCAATGTCTACCAGGTAGTTTGAGTGAAATAATGTGATAGTAACTCCATAATCCTGCAATAATTACGACGTCTATTTTATTCGATTATCAAAAGAAAACACAACATTTTAATTATCACTATGTTGCATCTCATTGTTGTCAAGAATTCAATTATCTTATTTTTGAAGAGGTGTTTTAATCAGTTTTAGTCCGATTTTTTTTTTTGTTTTTTGGTACAAAGTTTTTGTCCGAAATTAATAGTATCGAGATTAAGTTTAAACAAGAAGTACCTTAAAAAAAACGGACGTAGAATTCTCGTTTGTTTGCTGTAGAATGAGTGACTTTGGTACAGCTGCATGCAATAGGCATAAAAGTGATTCATAATGATTGAGGCTTAAAGAATCCCCCACAAACATAATCTTCTTTCCGTTAAACCTCGTCAAGAAATCAATTCCATCAAATCTGCATTCAAGTCTCAATGTTAGAAAGCAAAAAATTTCATTATTCTAAAATGATCTGGGAAAGAACCCCCCAGAACAAAACTCTGATCCGCACTCTGAGTTACCCACATTTACCTGATTTTGACTTTCTGACTTGATGATTTATTTTCCATGCAAAATGATGATTATGTTGGGAATTATTCCAGAAAATGTTGTATCAATAATATATTTGACTCATGCAAATTGCATGGTCTTAAATATACTATTTTCGGTGTAACAAAATGTCTCCTCAACATAAAAACAAACATTTTTTTAATAAAAATTAGAGGGTGTATGAGCTAACAATTATACAAATTCAATGTGATTAAATTTATAAGAAAAGGACGCCAGAGAAAATTGTTCAAGGATATTTTTGAAAGACAAAGTACTAATAATATATTTATAGGAACACAAGAGCAAGGATTAAGGTTTAGATTGCTTTCAAGTCAGCTAATTAATGCACATTAACACTTTAGAGTTTAAGACTTAGAAACTTCCAAATTATAACTCCATTAAGCAACAGTTTCCCACTCTTAACAATGAAGCTGGAGTAATAGATGTAGGAGTAATTGAACAAAATTGATCTTTTGAAATAAATTACTTCCTCCTTCCCAAAAAGAATAAACTACTTTGAGTTTTGGAATTTGAACTAAAAATAGTACAAAAATGAAAATTCAATGTGGACTATTTTTCTAGGACGGGGGTAGTAACAAAAAAAGGCCAACAGATTCAAGTGAGCTTTGAGAGCTGATTTGAAACTCTTTGTTGAGATGAGTTACAAAAATGAATTGCAACACCAAAATCATAATAATCGAAGGTGCCCCAGTAACTCAAAAAGCACAAAAGTAAAGTAATAATACCAAATTCCATACGATAAATACATGTTAGAAACATAGGAAATTTCATTACCTAGGAAGATCGCATTGCTTGGGTTGCCATCGGTACTTGAGGTATTCATGATCAAGGCGGCCATACTTCAAGCAGTTGAATTCCTTGCGAATGAACGGACAAGCTGATGAATCATACAAAGGATAAGAATCATCATAGACCCAACTTCCTTCATATATGTTGTAACCGTTTTTCTTGGCTATTTTCCATTTCTTGATGATGCTACCAATATTGATACCAATCTTGCCTTTGATTATTGTGGATGAATTAACAACACAAGAGGATTCTATCAAGACTGCCACTAAAACAATAAGATAGCTCACAAGACTCCCTCTACCCATTCTCTTACAAACACAAAGAAGTAGCTAATAAAAAAAAAGGGAAAAAAAAGAAAAAGAAAAAACTAAAAATGCATGAAGTGGACTTTTGGGTTTTTGTCTTTTATATTTTGAAGCTTACACGATATGATTTCTGTGTCAATCTGGTTTTGTTCCCTTTTGATAGTATGAATTTGTATATGCAGGACTTAGAAGTGGACTTTTGGTATGTTGTCCCGATCGAGTGGGTTCACATGACAATTTTAAGAGATCCCTCGTGTTAATTATATATATCAAATTAGATTAGTCGTCAGAGCATCTCCTTTTTCTTCATCAATATCTAAACAGATTATTATTTTCTGTGCTTTAGAGTAATAATAATAATAATAACTGTGTTTAAAAGATATACTCCATATATATATATATATGTCATTATTTTATCAAACGACTAATGTAAATATTCTCCCTATTTCTGTAACTAAACTAAAAGATGGAGTAAGAAGATTGAGTGAGTGGAAAAGGGGATTGCAACGACGAGATTAAAAGATGCCTTATTTATAAGAATGTGAAAATTTTATAGCTCGTGAGACGTGATTCCAAAATGTCGCCAACTATATTGAACTGAGCAAAATCTAGATCGGACCGATCAATGGAATCATAGTTATGGATTGCGCCTAGTTCACATGCTCTTTCACATGGCCTGATGGCCAGACACTTTATTTCGTGCATATTTATAATTTCTAATTCACCTCCTACTTCTTGCATGCATTTTCGTTCTTGACAACAAACCGACTCTTTGGACATATATTGAAGCTAATAATTTTGTCTTGACCTATTCAAAGGAACTAAAGACGGAAACAAATAGGCATTGAACATTTTAATTTTCCATTTATTTAAACCATAATTTCGCCAAAACGTCATTTTGAACTCAATTTGGAAGTTTCCTAATGTCGTGGAAGTGGTCCTATGGCCGAAATTCTAATGGTGTCGAATTCTTTCTTCTATTTGAGTTTTTATTCATTTGAGTTGAGTTACCGTAAGTCCGTAAATGTTGGAGAATTACTCCAAAAATTTTAACAAGTCCTACAGTGTTCTAATGAATTATTTTGGCCTATAAAAATGTTTTCTTAACATTAGTTGGGTCAAAGTCGTGCAAAAAATCACGCATTACACGACAAATTCAATTTTTAAGTAGTGAAGAATTGTTTCTAATATGATATGATCCACTTTAAACTTCAACATTAGCTTCATTAAATTATAAGTAATTCGTGGTATGATGAATTTGGACGATTATAACTAAAATGAAGCTACAAAAAAAGAATTAATAGAAACTCTATGTAAGGAAATGGATACCCTTAGTAATCCTCTTAAACAAAGCAATGCACTAACACTTTTTGACCAAGAAAGATTTACCTGTATTTTAGCATTAATCAAAACTAAAAGCTAGTAGAAATGAATACAACATAACCTAGTACTCCCTCTATTCTTGTTTATGTCTTTTTAGGAATTTATCAATATTAAAAGTACATTAATTATAGTTAAAATATTAAAATACACTTATTCATTGTCCATACAACTCATCACAAAAAAAAAAATTTATTATCAACATTGTTTTATTTACAATGTAAGGGTAATGATACTAAAAAGTGGTCAAATATGTTTCGATTTATAAAAATAACATATATTAAAAAAAATTCACTACACCCTAAAATAACGTATAATAAAGAATGAAGTAACATTTTATTAAATATCTCATGTAGTATTTTCTCCATTAAACCAACTTTTCCCAAGTGACTTTCTATACATGATCACAAAAAGTAGCAAATAAAACTGTGCTCCATCAAGAAGAAGAAAAAAACAGAATGCGTCGATAAATCCGCATACACAAATCTCATAAACGTAGCTAAACATGAAACTATTTCTCTCATTAATTTGCATGTTGATGCCTGTATCAAACTAGCATGCTGGAAATATGTTTGTCAGGAATCAACAATAATTGAAAATTAACATCAAACGACAAATAAATTAGACACAATATGGTTCAATCAAATGACCTACGTTCACAAGCAAGAACATGGATATTTTATTAACTTGCAGAATTGTTTCAGAAAAGAGTACATAAGAGAATACATAATCCTGTGTCTACTCCTTGTATTTATAGACCCCAGGATAGGTTAATCCTAAAAGTAATAGGGAACCAAACCTAATACCTAGTAGAATAGAAAAACCCCTAAATTTAAATAGATGTAGGAAACATGACCAAAATAAATTCCCTATAGAAATTCAAGCCATAATTTAACAATTTCTAGCTACCTTAAACTGAATTCTCTCAAATCATTAAGAACCACTCCTTCCTGCCACCTAGGCCTCATGCTATGCAAACATTTATCAAGTCCAAGCTACGCTTGAACTTCTCTGTAGGTAACAGCTTTGTCAACTTATCTGTTGGATTCTCTGCAGTAGCTATCTTATTTATAAACAAGTCATTCTTCTATATGACATCTCGAACGAAGTTCAACCTGACATCAATATGTTTTGACCTTTCATGATAAATTGGAGTTTTAGCCAAATTTAGAGCACTTTGACTATCACAATAAATTATAGGTCTATGAACTTTCAAACTCAAACTATCAATAAGACCATGCAACCATATTCCTCCTTTAATTCCCTCTGTCAAGGACATGTACTCTACTTTAGCGGTAGATAATGTGACGGTGGATTACAGAGTTGTCTTCCAACTTATAGCACATCCAAATAGAGTAAAGATATAACATGCCAATGATCTTCTCCTTACAAGATCCCCACCATAGTCAAAATCTATATAGCCTACCAATCCATTACCAGACTTATTATCACCATAAGTTAAACAAATATTGCTTGTTCCCCTCAGATATCGCATAACTCATTTGACTGCTTTCCAGTGAACTCTTCCATGATTATTCATAAACCTACTTATCATACTAACTGCGTGTACCAAGTCAGGCCTAGTACTTACCATAGCATACATCAGACTTCCAACCGTGTTAGAATAGGGAACCACACTCATGTACTCCTTCTCCTCATCTAAACTAGATATTGTACTAACATCAAACTTTAAATGTGCTACCAACAGAGTATTTACCAGCTTGGATTTATCCATATGAAAACTACGCTACATTTTCTCAATGTATTTCTCTTGAGATACATAAAGTATTTCTGCAATTCTGCCTCTCCCCAACTCCATGCCAAAGATCTTCTTAACTGCACCCAAATCTTTCATCTCAAACTCACTGCTCAACAAGGTTTTTGGTATTACTAATATCATCCTTGTTTTTAGCCGCAATCGATGTGTCATTCACTTCTTCACTTCCCTTGAACAGAGTTTGTTGTAGTCATTTTTGGGACTTTAACCTCAATCTCCACCTTCTGGCTCGCACCCTAATCATTGTTCCTTGCATGACTACTAAGCTCCTTCTTCTGGCCTCAAAAAGCAGTCTCATCAAATTTGACATCCCTGCTAATGAAAAATTTCGGTTTTTATCGAGTTTAGTACACCACAATCTGCTTTAACTCCACTTGCATATCCTAGAAATATGCGTTTCATCACCCTCAGCTAAATTTACCATCATTTGCATAAGCATAAACTGGACAACCAAATATCGTAGGCCAGAATAATCAAAGGCTTCCTCAACCACAGATTTGAGGAGTCTTCAAATCAATTGCAGTTGATGGAAATCTATTCAAACAGATAACTAGCAGTGTTAGCAGCTGATGGGTGTTGAATCCACAGTAGATAGTGGTAAGCAGGATCAATCCCACAGGGACGGGTGAAACTCTAATGACCCCAAATGATTAGACTCAAACAACAAGAAAACAGGAAAACAGACAATTTGCGAAAGTCAGAAATTCACTTAGCTAAGTGTCATTTCCTACTCCACTATCTTCTCTCTAGTTTCTTGTTCTGGTTGCTACTTTTGTGTTATGAAACTGTGTTTGATCAGGAACAAATTCACTGTAAGGTCAACTTCGATTGTTCCAGACAGAGTTCTAATAGCAACAAACCCACTAACTTCCGTTGTTTGATTCCAGAATACTATTATGCCATTAAGATCATATGCCCTTATGATCGCCTTGTGCCAAACAACTAACCTCCAATGTTGTTTGAAACCTTGGCTGCTACCCCCTTGTCACCGGTTAATACTAGACATTCTAAGTGAAATTTACTCGTTAGGGATTCCCCCTCCCCTCCTCCCCCCCCCCCCCTTCCTACATACATGCACAATTGACTAGTTGATCTTTCTAACAAAAGGTTAATTGAAACTCTATTACTAGGCATATAAATATCATCCAAGTCCAACCATGATTAATAACTAGAGAGATTCAAGGGATTAAAACCCTATAAACATTTTAGCTACTCATGTCCCTTGACTACAATGGATATAGAAATGATCCACATAGCCAAAGACATGATTACAACAAGAAAAAGACACAAAAGAAAGAAAACAGGGGAAGAAAGCATATCTGCTACTGCTGCTCAAGGCTGACTACTTGGGCAAGTGACTTTGTCACTTCCCTGGTAGCTACCCGTAGCAGCTGCCTACTGCTTCTCTTCTTCTCTCTGTTGTGAACCTATCTGTGGGTCTCTCTATCTAAGTCTGGTCTTCTCCTTCTTGATCTGATTTTCCTTGCTGCTGCTCTTGTGACTTATAGAGGTTGGAGGAGGTAAGCTTGCTTAGTGAGGGTGATCTCTTCTTTGTTCATTAGATTAAGATCAAATGAGGAGATCCATACCTTTGATTCTGAAATTGCAACCATCTACTTCCTCTTTTGTAGCCCCAAGTCAGCAACATCACTTCACCCATGCCTTCTTTCTCTTTCTTAGGTTTGAAAGCTTTTTTCTCCTTCTTCCTTAGCCTTGAATGACAGCTTGATTTGAAGTTCCTTGAGCTTCTCCCGCCGGTTGCTTCCTCTTCTCAGATTTGCAACATAGGTCCAATTGGGCCATTTTCGATTCTACCCAAAACTTTCCCAATTTGCACCAATTT